AGGTCAGCAGCATCTGAAAAAGCAGGAAAATTGCAGTGTCATGAGGGGTATTTTAACATCCCGTGAGAACAATCAGTAAATAAAATGAGGGTGTGACTTCTAAGACTGAATTCTCTCTCTGCTGCAGACAGTTTAAGACAATGTCAGAAAGCACTTAGCAGCTTTCTACTGGCGTTACCCAGCTCTTATGATGTTTTTTCCTTCTCTACAGAACTACCAGAAAAACAGGAGCAACTCTGTGCCATTTACAGTGTCCTGGAACAGCTGCCACAAGCAAATCATAATACCTTGGAGAGACTCATCTTCCATCTGGTCAAGTAATGAGTTTAATTATTTCATTTGGAGAGAAACCCCATGTGACTTTGTAAAGGGGCTGCTCTTATCCAAGGGACTTGGGAGTATTCCAGGGGGCCCTCTGGACATAGGGAAAAGGGATTTTTAAAGAGGAGGCACTGAATCACCAGACACGCTTTGAGAGGCCAAACAAGCTTAACCTGGGTGGCTTCCTCTTCCTTTTTCTGATGCGTGAAACTTTGTCTGCTTGGTAGGTGTGAAATCATTTTAAAACTTCTTTGAACTGCTACGTGCTTAGTACCCTAGAGGTACTAAGAGGCCTCCTTATGTGATATTTGGGAACTCTGGCAAAGTTTGATCAGATTGCTTGTATTCTAGCAAGATTCGCTTAATTTTCTTTTTTTTTTTTTTCTTGAACACTGAATTTCAGAGTGGCTTTGATAGAAGATGTCAACCGTATGTCACCCAATGCCTTGGCCATTGTTTTTGCTCCGTGCCTCTTGCGCTGTCCTGATACCTCTGACCCTTTAACCAGCATGAAGGATGTTTCAAAAACAACCATGTAAGTTTTACCAGTCTGCTGCGAAATAGGACTTTGAAATATGATGGAGGGCCAGTACTACTCCCTGCTTTTGTTACAGCCTTATTCATATTGAGCTGAGAAAACTGAGGGTTAAGAGCTGCTAAAGTCTGGCTGCAGGCTCATTCTGTATCTACCAGTCTGTGCCAGCACAGGAAAGACAGGTAGAAGCAGCAGAAGCTGTTAGTGGCCATGGTAATGTCTGTCTGCTTACTGTCGCTGAGTACAGTCAGCGTGGGAGGCTCAGGGTATCACAGGAAGAACATTTGCCATTACCTGTAACAGTCTGTCCTGGTTTGTGGGCCATGTTGGACTCTTCACCCCATTCCCATGCAGTGTTACCCCCTGTAAGGTGTGCATGGCCAAGCCACTGTGGTCACCTGCCATCCACGTGTGGCAAACCCCTCCAAGCCAGGAGAGGCATTTCATCCCCCCCCTGCTTGTCCCCAGAGCGTTTCTAGTGTGAGGCTGCTCAATAAACTCTTGCCCTTTTGTCCAGGTGTGTAGAGATGCTCATAAAGGAACAGATAAGGAAGTACATACGTGCACGTGTGACAAACCCCTCCAAGCCAGGAGAGGCATTTCATCCCCCCCCTGCTTGTCCCCAGAGCGTTTCTAGTGTGAGGCTGCTCAATAAACTCTTGCCCTTTTGTCCAGGTGTGTAGAGATGCTCATAAAGGAACAGATAAGGAAGTACAAGATAAAAATGGATGAAATAAATCAGCTGGAAGCAGCTGAGAGCATTGCTTTTCGACGACTCTCGTTGCTTCGGCAGAATACGGTAAGTGTTGAAATAAACCATGGAATGGCACCATCAAGCAGAAAACATCCCACCAGTTTCTTGGGAAGGGATGGATGTGCTCCTTATTTATCCTCTCCATCCCATTCATTAAATCAAAGATCAATTGCAAGATAAGAAAAACGATTTGGACTTGCCCCAAAACTATAGTTGGGAGCTAAATATACAGCTTCACTGGAGTCTGATTGATAAATGAAGGGCACGGGGTGGGGACCTGCTTTTTATGGTCAAATCTATTGTCAATCTATGGTCAAAATCTATTTTCCCATATGATTCAACCAGTGGGACTAAGTTTGCTGAGTCTCTTACATGGCAAAGGAATTTCTTCACTCCAGATATGGATGGTGGACAGAAATATACTGTGTTCTCTTAGGGCAAATATGCTTTTCTTTTTGTTTTTATTGTACTGATTAAAACAAACCAAACTGTCTGATCAGAAGCTGCATTATAGTGAATTTGGTCTTCATCTCTCTCTAGCTGTGGCCTCTAAAACTTGGGTTTTCTTCCCCTTATGAGGGGATGCGGGTATGTACACTGCCTGTGTTAAGAGTGCATGTGTTTTTTTTCCTTAACGGTACTATTGCATGACTAAAATACTTATGTGTATTGTAACTTTGGTTTTAAATACTCTTTTGAACAATTAAACTGCATGTATTGGTGCATTGTTCTCCCAGGCTGCATGCAGGGCTGCCAGCCTCTTCTGTCACCACTCTGGTATTTTATAGACATTCTGAATGTAATTTGTATTGGATATAATAATATTACTTATAAATGACTACTAAAACTAAGCTGAGGGTGGCGAATCAAATTACTATGCTTCAAAAAAGGTAATAAAACCCCAGAAATCAGGTGAATAGAAAGATTTCTACTACCTTTTTGAAACATTTGGATGGGTCACTAACAGCTCTTCACCAATTCCATCAGCCCTTCATTTGATCTCCTCATTTGTCTTCCACCCTGCAACTTAGTGGAAAGTCAAGACTTTTGTGTAGCTTCTTATGATCCAGAAGTGTTACACATGAATTTGCCTTGCAGACTAAAAGCTCACAGGCCAAAGGCAGTGAGAGTGGCAACTCAGAACTGGACTCGCTGCATGAAGAAGAGGAAGTTTCTGAAGCCGATAATCGGGAAAAGGAGATCCTCATCGATCGCATACAGTCGATAAAGGAAGAAAAGTAAGTCACAGCTTTGAAAACCATTTGTCTCTCTGTAGGTTGTGCCCTTTGCAGTTGGAGGTAATACTGATAGCAAAGAAGATCTTTTTGGACAAAAAACCATACTCAAAAAACCATACTGGCTAATTCTGTCAGCCTTCATGAAGGTGGAAGAAACCATATTAGCTAATTCTGTCAGCCTTCATGAAGGTGGAAAGGAAAATGCAAAGGACTAGCTGCGAGAAGATACCATGAGAATCAATTATTATATTAATACCTCTGAAATATGTGCTACATAAAGTTGCTGGTAGCAGAGATACTGTCTTTCTGGAGCGCTAAAATCTCCGTTTTGTTGTAGGGAAGATATAACTTACCGGTTACCTGAGCTTGACCAGCGAGGCTCTGATGAGGAAAACGTGGACTCTGAGACCTCGGCGAGCACAGAGAGCCTGCTGGAAGATAGACCAGGACGGATGGATACCGAAGGTCAGTATTAAGGTAGTGTGTGTTTTTTTTTCTATTCTACATCTTTTGCTGCATACAGCCAGGTGACCAGATGTTCTCTGGTCGCAGGTGCTTGTATGAAGCTACATTTTTCTTTGTGCTTTCAGTATCTAAGTATCTTGTTTCTTTAAAGCAATTATCGGACTGCACTGCGGTGCTCGGAGCTCCAGTATGCCTGCCAAAGACATCTGCAAAGTGCCTTCTCTTTTGCAAAGCTCTTCAAGTTCTTCCTTTGCATCCCTGCCTTCAAGACACAGATCATCCTTAACGCTGCCCAAGATGAAAGTGCCCCGTCGAACCCCAGTGATGCCAACAGCAAACATAAAGCTTCCTCCTGGGATTTTCAAATGTACAGAATCCCAGGGCAGGATCCTGGCTAACGAAGAGTCTCAGCTAACGGTGAGACGAAGGGAGCAGCCCGGGAGGCGAACTGATAAAATCCACTCTGTCTACATTGCACAAGGGTCTGCACTGGCCCACGCTCAGGAACTCTTGGACGAATACGAACCCACAACAAAAGTCAAACGGAGGTTTTCGGACCCTTTCTCTCACATTCCCTGTATAGAGAAGTGAAATACTTCAGCTGTCTGGACTGGTTTTTTTTGAAGTCGACTGCAGCTTTGGCTTTAACCCTTTGAAGGCCATGAACTGGTTCATGTTCTCTTAAGTGGCTGCAGGAAGGCAGCCAGGAAACGTACAGTACTGTAAGGGTTAAGCAAGGTTGTTTAAAACAGTTACTCTTCACTTTAAATTAAAACCCTGCAAAGGAAGTAGAACGTAAAACTTGTGTTGAGTGTACAGGAAAAAAAAGTCCCCTGATTCTGCTGCCGTGCCTTTTTCCATTTGCCTTATGATGGACTCTAATGGGACCAACAGTGAGTTTGGGTCAATGTGTGTTGCCTTAATTTTTTTTTTTTATGTTTTTATTACACCTTTGTGTGAATTACAGAACTGTTAATTTTGTAATAGCCTTAACTGAGACCAAAATATATAAAAATGTTTATTAATACATTGCACTTTTTAAAAATACACGTGTTAGTTTATGAATGAGCGCCTCGTCTGATGAACCATTTCTTTGGAAGGAAGCCTTTAACCTGAATCATGGATCTTTGTCGGTACTTCCATGAAGCACTGGGGCCAAACCCACGATGTCACCTCAGAGCATTTTGGTGCTCTTGGAGCAAAGGGAACCATTGTGTGGGAGGCCTGTGCTGTGTGGGGCTCCATCAGCCTCCCTCAGCTCCACATCTGTGAGGTGAAACCCCTGAGGGCCAGGTGCCATCTTACCTAAAAATGTTTTGAAGCAGCAGGCTCTGCTTTGAGGGGTCATGGCTTCAAGCCAGAAGAGGGCAGATTTAGATTAGGTAGCAGGAAGAAAGTTTTCACTATGAAAGTGATCTTTAAGGTCCCTTCCAACATAAACCATTCCCAGAACTGGTCTGAAATCCCAGCTCCGTGAGCCCTGCTCCACGTTGAAGGGAAGGAAGAGCACGACTCGGGCACTCCCTATCGCTGCCTCCGGGGCTGTAGCGGTGCCACTGCGGAGCTGCCCCAGCATCCCCGCCTGCGTGCGCGTTGGGTTCGATTTTAGGGTGTTTTTTTTAAATAAAGCCACTTCGGCCCTCCCAGCGCCTCCCGCCCCGCCCCGCGCCCCGCCCCAAGATGGCGCCCGCCGCCCGGAAGTGGCCCTGAGGCAGCTTCCGCTGGCCACCGGCCGCCATGGCGGCGACGCGGCTGGAGCTCAACCTGATGCGGCTCTTGAGCCGGTGCGAGGCGCTGGCGGCGGAGCGGCGGGACCCCGAGGAGTGGCGGCTGGAGAAGGTGAGGCGCGGCCCGGGACCCTCCTGCCCCTCCGTCCCCTCAGCAGCGCGGTTCGGCCCCTCGAAATAAACTGAGGCAGCGAGTGCTGTGGTGTGTTAAAACTCCAACCTCCCTCTCAGCCGTGCAGCAGCCTCTGCCAGACGGGATATTTCTCCTTTATGCTGTGCATTAACAGCTTTTTTCTCCCCAGTATGTGGCCGCTCTTGAGGACATGCTCCGAGAGCTGAAGAAGCAGTCCAGGTGAGTGGCTCTGAGGGCCTGGGGAGGGCGGGCGGCCTTGTTGGTTCCCTTACTCTTTCTCTTCCCGTAAGACACAGCCCACAGACACCTCAGTAGAGCGTGTACTTCCTTCTGAAATGTATTTTGGTGAGGGAGAAGCTGTGCCCGAGGAGCTGTGTGTTCTCGGGGACATTTCCCTTCACATCGGCCCGTGCCCCGGGCTGTCAGCATCACCCTGCCTTGGAAAAGGCAATTTCCAAGCATCTTCCTACCCTGAGCCTAATTCTGTTAAAAGGTGCTTCTTTGAAGAACGTGGGGTTGGTTTATAATAGAAAATACCGATAACTTCTGGTTTTCATTCTGTTATTTTTCAATAGCAAACCTGCCCCAGAACTGCTGAATGAATACTCTCGCAAAGTGGACTTCCTAAAGGGACTTCTAGAAGCTGAAAAATTGGTAAGATCTACAGGTTCGGCTTAAAAAGACTTAAGTGTTCTCTGGCTATATTCACCTCATTGCCTGGTTCCTACGTTTGCCTTTATCTTAGATCTCAAAATAACACTTGTTAAAATCTTGTCAGGCAGTCCTTGTAAAAACGTCAATAAATATATTGGATTTTTGTATTTTGTTAAAAGGGGGCATTGTATGAAATCTGAAACTTCTTTCTCCCTTTTCAAAAGCAAAGTCCATCTTGCCCTACATCCTCACTTCTTTGACATGAGATACAGGGGTGGGTACTGTCCTTTAGACCTGATGCCTCTTGGACGGACCGATGTGCATCTGGAGAGCTATGAAATGCCAATAAGCTGTACCCCAATTAGTGCGGGTACTAATTAGTGCTTTGGGTTTTTTTGCTGTATGCAGTTAATGCTGCTGTTGAGACTTACTTTGGTGTTTGGGACGCAGCCATGGAAGTGCTCCCTGTGTCCTTGTTGGTTGCATACCCCTGTGGCCTTGCTGCAGAATGTGATATTCATGACATTTAATTGCTTCTTCCTACTCACAGTCTTCATCAACTGAAAAGGCTCTGGCAAATCAGTTCCCCTCTTGGACGGACCGATGTGCATCTGGAGAGCTATGAAATGCCAATAAGCTGTACCCCAATTAGTGCGGGTACTAATTAGTGCTTTGGGTTTTTTTGCTGTATGCAGTTAATGCTGCTGTTGAGACTTACTTTGGTGTTTGGGACGCAGCCATGGAAGTGCTCCCTGTGTCCTTGTTGGTTGCATACCCCTGTGGCCTTGCTGCAGAATGTGATATTCATGACATTTAATTGCTTCTTCCTACTCACAGTCTTCATCAACTGAAAAGGCTCTGGCAAATCAGTTCCTGGCCCCTGGACGTACCCCTACAACCACCAAAGAGAGAACCCCAGCTACTAAAACAGTTCATCTGCAGACAAAGGCTCGTTGCACAGGCAAGATGAGGAGTGAGCTGCTTGGTACAGTATGTTTTGGCGGTGCTGCTGCTTTTTTTACTGCTATTTTATAGATTGTCTCTTCTTGCATTCAGCTGCCTTTGGTGGCTGCGCCTCAGATGTGTCCCGGGCTTGGTTGGGAGTCACCTTTTTTGGGTTTCCTGGAGGAGTGTTTTTTATCACTGGCCCTTTGTAATCTTCCTCTTTCTTTTTCTTTCTGCCTCCCAGGACCCCTTGGCTGTCGATGGTAAGTTTCATCTGTTGTTTTCTCTCCTGGCCCCTGGACGTACCCCTACAACCACCAAAGAGAGAACCCCAGCTACTAAAACAGTTCATCTGCAGACAAAGGCTCGTTGCACAGGCAAGATGAGGAGTGAGCTGCTTGGTACAGTATGTTTTGGCGGTGCTGCTGCTTTTTTTACTGCTATTTTATAGATTGTCTCTTCTTGCATTCAGCTGCCTTTGGTGGCTGCGCCTCAGATGTGTCCCGGGCTGGGTGGGGAGTCACCTTTTTTGGGTTTGGATAGTCTAAATACTGGGCACAGACACTGTTCTAGGGCTGGAGGAGTGTCTTTTATCACTGGCCCTTTGTAATCTTCCTTTTTCTTTTTCTTTCTGCCTCCCAGGACCCTTTGGCTATCGATGGTAAGTTTCATCTGTTGTTTTCTCTAACTTTAGTTAACCTGAGTCTTACAGGCAGAGAAAGAGGAAGGTCAGGTATTAGAGATTTGGCCAAAGGATACTTTTAATTTAGTGTCTCACTTCTTTTCAAGGTGGCAGATTTTAAAAGCAAACAAAACAAAAAACCCTAAGTGTTGTTACCACTGTGGTCGCAGGGACTTGCAGGAACCCATTTTTCTAGAATTTGTCCAGAAACAGACATTCTAATTATAGAATTAACAAAGACAATTTATTGTTGCTCCTGTTCTCTTCTGCTCTGAGTAAATCATGTGATTTTTAGACGCCTGGAGTAGGCGTTGTTCAGTTCCTCTTAAATATACAGCCGTGTTGTTCGTGTGGGGAACTGGTAGGAATTAATTTGCGGTTTCCATGGCTACTGTTAGAGCGGCTGGAGCCGCGCCAATCCAATGTGTCCTGAAAGAGAACACCGAGACACACGGCCTTAAACTGTGCCCTCAGGGATATGATTCATCTGTTTGTTTTGTTGTTTTTTTTTCCTCTCCCCACGATATGTTTGCTGTTAGGTGTTGTCTTTTCCCCTGTGGAAAGCAGGTAGGCATTTGAAATCCGTGTTCCCTGGGGTAGAGAGCCAAGTAGGATTTGGACATCTGAAAATCTCTTAGGGAATAATTGTTCAGCCTGTGATTGCATTGGGATTTATAACATGCTAAAACACATCCCTTACGGAATAATTGTTCAGCCTGTGGTTGCATTGGGATTTATAACATGCTAAAACACAAATTTAACTCTTTTTCTAGATTCCGAGGAGTTAAACCTAAGGAAGAGGAAGTAAGTCAAAGTTTCTTATTCTGATGCTGAATGTTTTGAGAACTGCTTTCCCAACGACCTTTACATCACAGCTGGACTTCCATTTGGGTGATAGAAACCTAAATATAATGAATTCAGCTGATTTAACTCGTCAGTCGCAGAGTCTCGGGGAGATCTTGGGAGGTCAACCCACAGGGAAGTACAAAAACCCAATTTTCTTCCTTCTCCTCTTGCAGAGGCCTCGCCCCCGATGAGAAGCAGTCGGCGGTGGAGCTGGACGCCGTGCTGCAGCACCACCAGGACATGCAGGAGAAGTTAGCTGAAGAAATGCTAAGTTTGGCTCGCAGTCTCAAAAACAACACTCTGGCGGCGCAGAACGTGATAAAACAAGATAACCAGGTAGTGCATGTTATTGGGGAGATCTTGGGAGGTCAATTCACAGGGAAGTACAAAAACCCAAATTTTCTTCCTTCTCCTCTTGCAGAGGCCTCGCCCCCGATGAGAAGCAGTCGGCGGTGGAGCTGGACGCCGTGCTGCAGCACCACCAGGACATGCAGGAGAAGTTAGCTGAAGAAATGCTAAGTTTGGCTCGCAGTCTCAAAAACAACACTCTGGCGGCGCAGAACGTGATAAAACAAGATAACCAGGTAGTGCATGTTGAAGTGCTCAACTCTTAGTTTTTCAACCCAGAAGGTTAAAGCGCTGATATATTAAATGCTGTCCCTATAACCTGATTCCAGGCGAAATTAGGGTGAGGAGACTGGAAGGCAACCCCTGTCTGCTTCTGTAGTGCGATTGAACCTTTTCTCTGTTGAAAGAAATAGTGTTTTAGGGCTTTCAGCTCGGAGTTTGAAACTCTTTGCTCTCTCTGCTCCGCAGACGCTGTCGCATTCCCTCAGGATGGCAGACCAGAACTTCGAGAAGCTCAAGGACGAATCCGACCGCCTCGAACAGCACGCGAAGAAATCGGTCAACTGGCTGCTGTGGATAATGTTAATTGTAGTTTGTTTTATATTCATCAGCATGATTCTCTTCATCAGAATTTTCCCCAAACTGAAATGATTCTCTTCTCGTTCAGCTGCCAGAGTGCAGTTGGGAAGCTGAGAACTGGCAGCAATGAATTTCTTTGCCACCTATCGTGTCGTTAAAAGAGGCTGCCCAAGGCCTTACCCTTCCCCCTCTTCCTTGTGGGGTCAGTGAAGGGTTTCATAGGGCTTTCTACACTTGGTTACCTTTTTACTTAGTTAATATTGCTGTCTGTTGAGACAGATAACAACAGAGAACTGGCAAAAAGCTGGCACTTTACGGGGAGCTGCTAACGAGTTCCTCAGTGAGTAGCTCCAGCCCTGGTTTTAATGTGGCTGTGGCAAATGTTCCCACTCCTACAAGGCGTTTACTCAATGCAAACACAAGTAACAGTTGAAGTCTTACAGTTTTTCCCAGCTTTACAGCTTTACTGTGCTGCAGCAGGACCTTGCTGCCAACAGGATATTTAATTACAGTTCTGTACATACACAGCTGTAGGGTGTAGGAAGAGAATGCTGCCTTTGAGATGTTGCCTGGCTCAGGTTCAGAGAGTATCAACAGGTAAAACTATTCTCAGGCTCACCTTTTTCCCCCGATGAGTATTATTTAGGAATCTTCTGCAGTTCAGGCTTGCTAGGGAAGAGCTGGAGTTGCTTGTTGCAATATTTGTTTCCCTTTTTGTGAGTGTGACTGTTCTCTCTCATTGTCTGTTCATGTTGATGCTGTTGCATCAAGAAAACACCGTGACCCCGGCCCTGCAGAGCTGTACACACAGCACTCTGTATGCTACACACCTCACCTGTGCAAACACTTTGTCACTGTAAATTGGGGGCAAAGGAAGCTGGTGTCTTCAAGACAGAAATAAAAAATAAAAAATAAGAAAAGAATTAAAATATTCAGGCTTTACTATTTGAGACAGGTTATTCTGGTCAAGAGCAGTTGTGTGACATCTGTATTCTTAAGAGGTCACTACAATAAAGCAGAGAGGAAATGAATTTGAATATTTTTAAAATACTGCTAGGAAAAATGAGAGCCTGCAGTAAAGCAAGGTTTTGTTGTGACCATGCAAGAGCCATTTTTAAGTGTTTGTGATAAGCCAAGAGCAAACTATTCGTGTCTGTGCTGTGGTTTCTGGAGCCTTACTCTGGAAAGGGGTGGCGTTGGGGTGTGCAGGTTTCCCACTGAAGAAATGAGCAGCAGCAGATGACCCCAAATGTGGGGTTTTTTTTATCATTTCTCTTGGTGTTTTGAACCACTAGATGGAGTGTTTTCGGCCTCTTTGGCGATCCCCTGCAGCAGGGGAAGGTGGGGAGAAGAACTGTTTGTCACAATTGGGTTCTTACGAAAATCCAACTGCTGCTTTGAACACATCCCAGAGCAGCAGCCTCCCTTTCAGAATTGTTTTTTGTTCTCTACAAAACCAGCTGTGTTAATGAAGACAGTCAACGTTTTTTTACAGAAAGTATTTTTGTTCATTTAACAGGATGTTTGTAATTTAGTTTCCCATTTGTTTATGGATTATCAAATGCGTGATTATACTACAAAATACAGCTTTTTCTTCTAACTGCTCCTCTGTGTGACATGTTCATTCTGTTCCAGCAAACTTGTTACTTTATAGAAATGTGAAGTTGTAGCAAACCACCTACGGACATTTCTCCTTTTCCCAGAAGTTTTTCTTCAACCGTAACGTTTGATATTTCACTGTGCTTCATTAGTCAGTGCTGTGTCACCAAATTAGTTTTTAATTCTAATTGTTTACTACTTTCCCTGCGGGCATTTCAGTCCTCTTAGAGCAGAGGTTGCATGTTGTGCTGGAATGAGTTTTGTGTGTGAGAGATTGGAACGATACAACATTAGTGCTTCATTGACTCTAAGATATTTTTTTTTTCCCTTTATTACTTGAAATAAATTTATTTTTTCCAGCTTGCAAAAGACTTGGTGCATCACTGCAGGCAAGCTTAAAGCTGAATTTTTTGCTATCAGCCATGTGGTGTTGGCTAGAACTCTTTTGGCACTTTGACAAATTGCACGTTTGGTTGGAAAGACCTGAAAGGGAACTATTTTGCCCCCAAGTTGACAGCAATTCCTGTACGGAGAAGCCTGTCGGGGGAACCCGTTCAGAAACACTTTGCTATTTCACTTTGACCGCTGACATTTCGGGGGTGTTTGTTATTTTGAGGGGATGAGCTGCCAGAACAGAGATTGAATCCTGTAAAACTACTGCCACCTTTTGTGCCGCCCGGCGTGAGCTCAGAGCCTCCCGCGCTGCTGCTGCTGCTGCCTCTGACCCTCTGGAAGAATGTTACCTCCTGCCCTGGCAAACCAAAAGGATTCATTGCCTCAGTGCCCAGCAATCTCCCTGCTTTGTCGACTGGCAGTTGCAGCTTTTGGTTTTTCTTGAGTTCATTTAATGAGCCAGCAGTGTGCCCAGGTGGCCAAGAAAGCCACCAGCATCCTGGGCTGTGTCAGGAACAGTGTGGGGAGTAGGGCCCGAGAGGTGATTGTCCCCCTGTCCTGGGCACTGGTGAGGCCTCCCCTCGAGTACTGTGTCCAGTTTTGGGCCCCCTACCATAAAAAAGACATTGAGGTGCTGGAGCGGGTCCAGAGAAGGGCAACAAAGATGGTGAGGGGTCGGGGGAATGTCTTATGAGGAGAGGCTGAGGGAGCTGGGGGTGTTCAGCCTGGAGAAGAGGAGGCTGAGGGGAGACCTTATTGCTCTCTCCAACTCCCTGAAAGGAGGGTGTAGAGAGATGGGGGTCGGTCTCTTCTCTCAAGTCACAGGCGACAGGACAAGAGGAAATGGCCTCAAGTTGCACCAGGGGAGGTTCAGGCTGGATATTAGGAAAAATTTTTTCACTGAAAGGGTTCTCAGCCCTTGGAATGGGCTGCCCAGGGAGGGGGTTGAGGCCCCATCCCTGGAGGTGTTCAAAAGCCGGGTTGATGTAGTGCTGGGAGGTCTGGTTTAGTGATGATGCTCCTTGTTTGTTGTGTGGGTGTCTATTTTTGTCAGTGAGGTTGACGGTTGGACAAGATGATCTTTAAGGTCCCTTCCAACCTAGAAGATTCTGTGATTCTGTAACAATTACAGCCATTCCAAATCCCTTTGAAGATGGGTGCCAGCGGTGTTTAGAATAAACAATCACTCAAGGCTTTGTGACGTTTCATAGAGGGGGGGACAGGTTTTATTTGTGACTAATGATGTTTGGGGGTGGTTGTATGATCCGGTCCCTTTCGTAGCGCTGGGGCTCGGATGGGCTTCTCTCTCCAGAATCACGTTATATATAGAAATCGCTTTCTGTGAGAGTTGCAAACATTGTGAAGTGAGAATTGCTTAACTTTCCCCAAAGCTTGGGAAATCCAGATGGAGAGATGTTTATCAGGCATAGGGCTGGGCCTCGGTTGGCTTCTTGGCAGGCTCCCTACATTCAGACAGCAAGTTAAAAAAAAAAAATAAATATATAATTAAAAACTTTTGGAGGCTTGGGTCATGTCAGGGCGCTGAATGCACCATCTCCAAGCCTGGCAGCACCAGGAACTGTGGGTCGGTCTGAGCTCTGCTGGCAACCATCCTTGGTGACAGAGACTCCTTGTATTATAATACTTAACGTTGGAGCGGGGTTCTCAGCTTAATCCCAGCTGGATTTGATGTTTCGGGAGGATTTTTACGGCGGGGAGGCTGTGGGTGAGGGTGTGTGAAGGGCAGGAGCTGTAATAGGGTGGCTCCCGGGTAACCTCAGCTCGTTTGGGGCACGTTTCCCGGGTTTCACTTTGCAGAGCTTCTGTCTGTCAGACATTGTGGGCTGTGAGCAGCTTTCCAGGACTGGCAGTGATTCTGCAAAAAAGGGGGGAATCTTGTAAAAAGGTGAAAACGATGGGAGTGGAGAGACCAGGGTCCTGCTCCCGACTGTTCACCGTCTGATTCCAAAGTCACCTCCATGGTCATTGTCTCCTGTAAACCTGATGTGAAACCTCAGAATCAAAGTCTTACCGATTAATAGCTATAAGCATGGAAAAAAAAATGTTAACCATGATAATACAGCAGATAGGAGCTGAAAATAATCATAATAATAATAATAATAATAATCCAATTTCTTGGTTTACAGCAGGGTGCTGATGCCGTCCCGGAGCCCTCCGGCGCGGGGCTGGCTGGTGGCTGGTGTCCTGATGTGCCATGCTGGTGTGTGTGCTCCCCGTGTGTCCCCGCTGAACGGGAGTGACATTAAAACCCAGCTTGGCTTAAATCAATACCACCTGCCACATGACACCGCCGTGACATTTCTGGCATGAGCTCTACCTCCCAATAGGAGCTGGGAAGTGGGAAGCAGCAGCAGTTGGTGAATAAATGGATCAGATACGCCTGATTTGTAACATTTGCAGAGAAAGGGCGGGTCTCCCGGCTACGGAACAAACTGGTTATCACAACGGGAACTAGAAGTTCCGTGTCGTCCAAAAAGGCCAAACGTTGAGATAAAGTGGCGCGGGGCGGAGGGTGATGGTGGGCTGAGCCCCCCCCGTGGGGCCCAGGGGGCTGTCCCCCCATGGCTGCCTCAGGAACAGCAAAACTGCATTAATGTAAAGAAATAATAAAAAAAAAAACAGAGAAAGGAGAAGAGGGGGATAGTAGTGGATGAGAACCATAGAGTGATTTGGGTTGGAAGGGACCCTAAAGATCATCGAGTTCCAACCCCCCTGCCCTGGGCAGGGACACCTCCCACCACACCAGGTTGCTCCAAGCCCCCTCCAACCTGCCCTTGAACCCCTCCAGGGATGGGGCAGCCACAGCTTCTCTGGGCAACCTGGGCCAGGCTCTCACCAGCCTCACAGCAAAGAAGTTCTTCCCCACATCTCAGCTCCATCTCCCCTCTTCCAGTTTAGAACCCTTCCCCCTCCTCCTATGGCTCCCCTCCCTCATCCAGAGTCCCTCCTCATCTCTCCTGGAGCCCCTTTAGGGACTGGAAGGGGCTGGAAGGTCTCCCCGGAGCCTTCTCTTCTCCAGGCTGAGCCCCCCAACTCTCTCAGCCCCCCCTCCCAGCAGAGGGGCTCCAGCCCTCCCAGCACCTCCGTGGCCTCCTCTGGCCTCACTCCAATAGCTCCATGTCCTGTTGGTCACCCAGAGCACGTGCCTGTCCTGTGTGTTAGAGAAGAGCATGGGGAAGGTTGGGCAAACTTGACAGGGGGTGGGCTTCCCTGAGAAGCTGTAGGGCAGAATGGTGGGTGCAGGAGGCTGGGGAGGTTTGAAGGCCACGGATCTGGTTGTGGTTGTTTCACAGTTGGGCCCTGCTGGCTAGAGACAGGTTGGGAACACCGACTGTTGGGTGGTTCTTGTAGCAACGAAGAAAAACCTCGGTTCTTTTGAGTTGAAAAGTTTGATGCTGAACTAGAACAAAAATGTTCTGACAAGGAATGGAAAGTAAGTTGTGGTTGCCTCTGTGACACCCAAAATCAAACCAAACAAACCCAGAAACTGGACAAAAAAAGACCAAACGAGGCAGCGCTGCGGTAGGCCATGGAGAGCTGTTATTTCCTTTGTATCCCTCATCTCCAGTTTCTTTGAACTCCGTGTGGCAGAGAGATGCCCTCTGCCATTTTCACCTCGGGCAAGGGTTGGATTTGCTAATGTAACAATAGAATTCTCCAGAAGGATCTGACAGTGTTTCCTGTTTCAGCAGTAGGAAATGGAGACTTGTGTCCTTAGCACGTCAAGTGACCGGATCTTCATCCCCTGAGCTTTCTCCCATCGAGAAGGGAGCAGTCACTTATCGGATTTGGTGTGGACGGAAGGAAGGGTAAGAAAGGAACTTTGTCAATCCATGACGCGAAATATTTTATATTAAGAGATTTGGCAAATGGTTCTGTGTGACTCCAAACAGAACGAGATAAATTTTCCAAGGTCAGCCCTTCTGTGCTCCCGGCTTTGGGTTTAGTCACTGAGAAGTCAGGTCTGTAACCTTTGCAGCGACATCCTGCCAGTGGGGCTGGGACCGGGCTATTGTTGGCTTCAACAGCATCTTCAAAGGACAGGAGGTGGGACAACGTGCGTAGTGCACGGTGAGAAACTTGGGAGCAGGAAAGTACGTGAGGCAAATCAATAAAAATAGAGCAACCTGAGGAACGGGGTAACTGTTCACCAGGCAGTTGTCATTGTTTTAAGAAAAGACCGTACGGAACGATGGATGAAGCAGAAAGTGAGAATTCTGAGTCTCAGCCTTCTCGTTTGCTGGGTGGCTTTGGCTCCCTGAACTGCTCTTCAGCTGTTTTGTTCTTAAAACAGAATTACGACCGATGAACCTTCTTGGTGAATCGACTGCTCTAAGGCTCCTTTTGGGCACAAAGGCTTCATGTTCCTTGAGTATTCCTGGAACTTTACTTTTGTATGGTTGAAAAAAACAAACCCAAAACCCACCCACCCCGGTGTGTTTGGTTCCAGTGTGTACTTCATGAAAGATACATTTCATTTTCAAGACACAAAGCTTTCAGCCAGCACAGGGTCTCAATGACTGGAGACCCAAGCTCTCCTGTCCACACGCAGTTGTGTTGATACAAGGAGGTGACCACTCCGAGGGTGACGT